CAGCGACCCGCCCGAGCCTCCCCTGGGCCGGGGACGAACCAAGGCAGGTCCCCAGACACTGGCCAGAGCCTCCCCTAGGCCGGGGGACAGACCCAGCTGGGAGCGAACCAAGGCAGGTCCCCAGACACTGGCCAGAGCCTCCCCTAGGCCGGGGGACAGACCCAGCTGGGAGCGAACCGGGCTAGGACCCCAGCAACCAGCCTGAGGGGGGTCCTTGCTGGACCTGGAACCTGAGATCCCAGGGAGCCAGCCCAGCTCTTGGGGATGGAGCCCTGAGAGCCACAGGGCCTAGGGGGACTCAGGCAGCTGCCCAAGGGGACATGCGTCCTGCTTTGCTCTCCCAGGGGGAGAAGGAGCCACTGGGAAGCTGTGAGCCACGCCTTGGCTCCCCCAGATAAGGGACCCTAGTGTCTGGAGGGGGTACCTTGAGAGAGTGATCAGATGTGGGGGCATCCCCATAGTCCCATAAGAAGGGTTGTGTAGGCTTCCCCATAGGGGAGGGTTTATAGGCTCCCCCCAATTATCCACAGGAGTCCCCACCTTGGTGGTTTAGGAGTGGGCATCCTGCCTCTCCATCGAGAGTAAATAGTCAGATATTCCTGTAGAGTCCAGTTGAACAAAGTCACCTTTTAGACTCCAATCAGGATCTCCCCATAACCACCCTAAGAGGATTTATCACATCTGAAGATTTCTCTCTCCCTTTTGGGAAATTTTTGCTCAAGAGAGAACTTGTGTGTGGTGGTTAGATTCTTTTTTTGATTCTTTTTTTTTTATGAGCCCTTTTGATCTGGATGTTCTGACTGAGAGAAGGTTTTTTGAACTGAATTTGTCTTCTGTGCATGTCTCTTCTGGAGAAAGACTGGATCCTGAGCATTGTTGTATATGTGGGGGGCAACGCATCTGTGAGATCTGTGCAATAATAGTAAAATGCAAATTGGATAAGAAGACGACTCCTTGCCCAGGGCTCCAATGAGTGGCACACAGTCCACAATCACGGACAGGTTAGTATGAAACAGGATCTCTCTTTTATTTTAAAGCCGTTTCTCTGCTTCAAAGTTGGCTGCCTTCTTTTTGGATATAGTGACCTCATCAGAGGTTGGGATGGGTTGACAGGCTCAGGAAAATGGGATTAATTTGATCTCAGAATCAGTAAGTATCTTGGAGCATCTGACAATAGGTTAAATTTGAAATCAAAACATTTAGGTCCACTATCTATAGGAATTTGGGGATCCTCTTTTAGTCTCTGAACTGGTCTGGTAGGGGTAGATGTGCTCAAATAAATCTGTTCTAGGTATAATTTAGGGATTAGGTCGTCTTGAGAAGAGGATGTAATTTAGGCCATAAACATTTTATTTTAGGTTTGAGTGTGTATGTAATGTACTTTTGTTCTTTATTGGGTCAGCAAATTAGTCATTCAGGGAAAGGTCACTTCAGGTGAGGACAGAATTCCTACCTAATCAGCTGGTATGTCTGCCCAGATGTGTCCACTGTATTGTAGCGGTGTTCTCTAATTGTCTGCTTCAGGTGACTTCTTCCTTCTCTTGGCTTCTGTGTAAAAACCACCATTTTATTCTCTGGCATTTTTTGTGCTTTTTGCTTTTATTGGGTTCGTCAGAGTCAGGGGCTGGAATGTTATTCTCTGCTAGGAGAGATTTGGACATTAGTCTCAGAGCCATCGGATGAGCACAAGGTGAAAGGAGGAGAGCATTTCAGTTGTATTTCCATTTCTAAGCAAACAGGAAAGAAATGTCTCATCTGAGGTTTTCAGACAAGGTTGTTTGGAAGCAACGCCATAAAATGTTAGTGGAATTTAGTAAAGTTTTGACCACTTGAGCCTGATGTGATCTGTACATCAGATTTGAAGCAGTAGTCATTGCAGCTGAGATGGGAGCATGATTCACTGTTTCCAGTACCTGGGAATAACCTTGTAGATTCCAAGGATAGTTAGAAGAGACACTTAAGCCTTTTTACTCTAATCTGGGAGTGTAAAGGGGCTTTCCTGCGTGTGAAACTGCCTGAGAAGTGTAAAGGGGCCTTGATATAAACAAGTATCAGGTCCGCTATGTTATGTTGCTTGTGTTTGTTTTCCCAACCTTGAACATTTGCAATGAATTTAGCAAAATTCATTTTTCTAATGTAATAGTTGGGACAGTAACTGCTATTCTATCAATGCTGACTTGTCTGTCTCTTACAGACCATGTGCACTAACACTGATTTGCATATCTGTACAAGTCTGTACGGTTATATCCGTTACATGCATTTCTCGCCTTGCTGTGTATGTCGTAAAACAACTTGAAAGGCATCATAAGGGACAATAGGATCTTTACACCATTGCTGTGTCTGAAGGGGATACATGAAGGTAATGGAGTTGGTTGTTAATAAAACAAAATATTTTCCATTTATTGCATTAGAATGTCCAGTACAAAAATGTAAGTGCTTCCACTTCCTGCTGCTTTGTCACGTCCCAGGCATGTTTGTGCCATGTGCAATTAACAGCTTTGAATAAAAATAATGGTGCTGACTTGACAGCCCTGGAAACTGAAGCTTTCTATCCTGACAGAGTACAGCATGGGCAGTGGCAGGTGTGGGGAGGCTGGTCCTTTGCCTGGCCACTGTGACTCACTGCTGACCTGGAGGAACCCCTGCTCTAATGGGGAGAGGGTAATTCTGTTTTCATGGCCCATTTTTCCTTGGCTAAGTCAGCTGACAAAATGCCAACTGTGACAATGTCTTCTCGTGAGATGGACATCTTACCCACTAGGAATTGGAACGAGATCATGCATTCATTCATTATGGCACCATACAGCCCTCAGATAGTGGTGTCTTTTTGGTCACCACTGTCCTGACAACCTGCTTTTGATCTGAGGAAGTGGGTCTGGCCCACGAAAGCTCATCATCTAATAAACCATCTTGTTAGTCTTTAAAGTGCTACATTGTCCTGCATTTTGCTGTTGAAAGGCTCTCTGTCCAATTAAGCTTAAAAATGTATTTTCCTTTGCTCCTAATTGCACTTGCTTTATACTCCCATAATCTAAATGCAAGTCACTAGGTCCACAGAATATAAAAGCATGTTCCAGATTAAACTCTCTGATTGCCAATGATGGTTTTTACTTTTTTTACTGACTTCTCTGGTAGAGTGCCTTTTTGAAAGTTTAAACATCCACGTGCCAGACAGAAACATGAGCATAATAGGGTGGACAGTATGAGCCAGTCAGCATCCTTCTTGGTTTGTGCTATGGGCCTTATTTTTGTGTGTGTGTGTGTGTGGGGGGGGGGGAGGAAAATAATGATAGCTTCTTAAAAGATCTGCTGTCCATATGCATAATCTCCTTCACCTTCTCTTCCCCTCCCCACCTACCACCTAATTTAGTGGTATTGATTTGTGAGATCTGATTGACATTCTTTTTTGGCCTGGGTTACACCTGCTGTCCTGCTCACAGCTTTTGCCTCTGATCTCATTGCTGGCACTAGTTTACAATTTAGGATGAAGATAGGAATAGTCACTGGAACAACACCAAAACTGACAACAGGCGAAGTCACAAAATCCGGACAGCCCTCTCCTTTTCTCTTGTGCCATAGCTACTTCTGTTTAAGAAGGTTGAAGGATTGTAGGTATTACTGCAGCTGTGCTTGGGTCTGCTCAGGAATCCAGTGCAGCCAATTCATGTTGGCTGAGTTTGAGATGTTGGTCTCAAACTACATTGTGTGCCATCAATAGAGCTCTGTTTGATCATAGGCATTTCCATCTTCTGTTTAGCCTATTTCCCACTCAAGTAGGAGTGTTTCTTATAGCATCTTTTCTGCCAGTGCCTTAATGCCTCAAGAAAACTCTAGGTATTGAATTAAATGAATTTTACATAAGTGCTGAGATTGGTCAGAGGTAACAATGCCTTATCTTCCAAGCCACCTAGAAAAGAAGATGGAAATATTCAGGACATGTTAAGAATGAAGATGGAGCAAATGCTCTGGCAGGCATTCTGTTGGGCCACTAGAGAAACATTTAAAAAGAGGCAATTAAAAGAATCTCTGTACCAAACAGTGCTTGGAGAGAGGGGTTTGGGGTTTTCTTCTTTTGTTTCATTAAATAACGACTGCACATCCAACGAGTGTTCCAAGAGAGATGGGGATAATGGAACCTTCCCTGTGCCCTAAATGGCATGGCATGGCATGGGAAGAATTCAGAAGCTTAAACACCCCAAACAACAAGGCTTCCCTTCCCTACTTCTAGCTGGTTTGCTAGTCTCCCAAGAGATTCTCTCTTTGTTGTTGAGTCCTGTCACCTGTTGGACTATATGAAACAATGGCTGTTCATTCTTGGTGTTCACACCCTTCATGCATGTAAATGACCACGCACCCTTCATTTAATAATCTCTTAATCAGGCTATACATACTTCACTCTTTCTATATGTTCCCGTTTTTCAATCTATTAAATTCCTTACTAGTTGTCAGTTTTTCTGGTACTGAATGAACGTTTGGCTTGGTGCTGTTCTGTTAGTGCGGTGGTCACCAACAAGTAGATCCGGATCTACCAGTAGATCTTGGAGCCTCTGACACGTGACCCTGACTGGTTGGCCAGGAATCCATCAAGCACTGACACTTCAGTTGCCCCTCCGTCCACTGTCATGCTGCCCTTGCTGTGCCTTGGAGCTGCCCTCCAGCAGCTGCCTCTTTGCTGTGCAGGGCTTGAGAGGGGAAGTGTGTGGGGGTGTTTTCCTCTGATGTCAGGTTGTCCCTGCTCCTGTACCCTAACTCCACATAGAGAGAAGAGGATGGAGGGAGCTTGACAATACAAATTTGTCACTCTTACTGTGTGTGTGTGTGTGTGTGTGTGTGTGTGTGTGTGTTGTGAGAATGAGACACACACACACATCCTTCACACTCATCTCCTGACCCAACACACGTGGGTGGTTGTTTTTACTTTTACTGCTTGCAAAGTGTGTTTGTTTTTGACTGGTCTGTGCATTTCATACTTTTCATTTCTCTTTTACGCTTAAGTATAATTCTTTGAGTAGTGAGTTATAAAGTGCCTAACCTGTTGTGGTTGGAGTCATTATCCCTGTGGTAATTGCTGCTCCTGCAAGTGGCTGGCATGTCCCTGCAGCTCCTGAGAGACAGAGCAGGGGGTCTCTGAATACCAGCCTTGCCTGCAGATGCCACTCCTGCAGCTCCCATTGATCAATACCGGGGAACCCTGGTTCGTAGAAGCTATTAGGTCAGTGCCTGTAGATGCGGGGCAGCACATGGAGCCACCGCTGTACATGCCAGTTGCTTTTAGGAGTGGTGCAGGGCCAGGGCAGGAGTGAGCCTGAGTTAACCCCACTGCCCCACCATCTGGAAGCCATCTCAGCTAAGTGGTGCGCAGCCAGAGCCTGCTTCCTGAACCCTGTCCCAGCCCAGAACCTCCTACATTCAACCTCCTGCCCCAGATGGGAGTCCCCTTGCATCTAAACTCCTTCCTAGAGCTTGCACCCTGATTCTCTCCCCCCCCCCCACCCTGAATCCCAATCCTCCACTCTGGGCTAAGGCCAGAGCCCCTCCCATGCTCTGAACCCTTTGACCCAAGACTAGATCCTGCACCCCAAATCCCTACTGCAGCCTGGTGAAAGTGAGTGAGGAAGGGGGATGGAGTGAGCAGGGTGAGGCCTCCAAGAAGGGGTGGATCAGGGTGGGGTCTCAGAAGGGGCGGGAAGGAAGTGAGGCAAGGATATTTGGGTCTGAGTTAGATCTTACATTGCACTTCAATTGAAAAAGTGATCGTGTGGTTAAAAAGGTTGGAGACCACTGTGTTAGTATTTCCAGCTGTAGGATCTATGCTAAGCCGAGATGGGTTAGGTTGGCTTTAGACCTTCGCGTGACCTTCCTTACATTATGTTTCTATCAGGGCTACATGTTCACATGCCTTCTCTGTTCAGAGTTCCTCTCACCCAGGGTAAAATCAAATAGGCTGGCTTTGGGCGTTGCTCTCGTCTGCCATTTGTGGAAGGCGACACATGGCTGAGCA